GAATATATGATTATGAGATAAAATATGTAATAATAGAAAAATATGATGAAAGTGAGTTCATGAGAAGTGATAGGACTAGGTAAACATGTGTACATAATGCTTAATAGAAACATGAGTTGGACAAGTACATAGTGGTATGATCCATTATGAGAATTAGTAAATAGAGCTTTTTGATTAATGAGTTAAGGGAACTAAATAAGATTGAATTATAGAATGAAATGGGAATAGTATATCAATTAGGAAACTTGAATATAAAAATGATGATACGAATATATAAGATAAGTTATATGCTAAAGATTTATGGAGCTCTATGAAAAGGTTATAAGGAATATATGAAATTTAATTAAGTAAATAGATTAAATTAATATATAAATAAAACTATTAAACGATATATGTTTAGAAATACCACATAGTTTATGTAATCTAAGGGAATACAAAGAAATAAAGCATAAGGTAGATGATATGACATAAGTTATTATATACATATATGATGTATGTTATCAAGTAATATGAAAGGACACGGAAAATTGATATAAGCTATGTGGAAGTGTTCTAGGTTTTTCTATGTGCTATATGAAGTATATATGATTATATGTGCACAAGATATGATATGTAGGTTTACATGAACATCTAAGAAATGATCTAAGCTATATGATATGATCTACGTGATTATATGCACTTTTGATATATGTTATATGACATGGATCTATGTGACTATGTGAGAAAGAATATAAGCTATGTGACATGTAAATGTGAATTATATGAAAATGTTCTACGCGTAAGTGAACTACGTGTATATATGAATATGTGAAATGATATAAGTGAAAATGCCCATGTTATATGATTCAAGAGCTATAGGTATAGTTGGCATGCCAAGAGTCGAGGGTCTACGCGGTCCTTCGGGACATACAGTGATCCTTCGGGATATTTCATAGTGGTCATTCGGGACAAATTTCATAGCCCCTAGTGGGACCCCATACGAGCTGTTGTGAAAGCATAGTGCACAACCTCAATAGACTCACATATCTACAGTTCTCACAGATGTGCATGGGCTAACAAAAATATAACAATAAATATATATATATTACATGTAAAGTATATGCTTTTGTGATATGAATTGTATTATATGATATATGAGATGATGTGTTATATGCTTGATTAATTGAATCATATGTGCTTAAAAGAATGACTATATGAGTAATGATTATGAGACATAAATGATAAGAATATGGATAGTGGAATAAGTTAGTAATGGAAATAGTGAGATATGTATATGTGTATATTACATTGTATGTAATGTTAAATTGTTTTGGTATGACATCATGAGAGATGTGTTCCTGCATGTTTAATAATTAGAGTTCTTTTATAAATGTAATGCCTCACTAAGTCATAGACTTAGCGTGATTGTTTCACACGTAGGTTACAGAAGTGAGAGAAATTTAGAGGAGCAAGACATGTCAGATTCTCCTTTCCACAATTCAGATCAGAAATATGTTTAAATTTTATGTATTTTGTCATATGAATGTAGTTGGCATGTAAGATAAAAGATTTGTACTGGATACGATCTGATCAATTTGTAAAACCATACGTTTTATACAATAGAAATTATTTGGGTTTTATTGGAAATGTTTAATTGAATTTCATTAGATTTTGATAAAGTAAACGTTTGAACTGTCAATTTGACACCTCGGACTTGTATTCGGGTCGGGTACTGGTTGGGGGTGTAACATGTATTTTCCATACAAGAAAGTCTCATCGATTTGGACCACAGGCTTGCAGTATTTGACAGCATTAACGCACTGTGGGTAACTCCAAAAAACCCGGTAGAATTGACATTGATCGCGAAGAACTTGATCATTATGGTATGCATAGGAGGTTTCGAAGTCCACAATTATCCCAGGATTCAACGTCCGCACCAGCCTAAACCAACCTGGAAGTTCTTTGTAAGATGCATCCCATTCGTCATGAAGTTTGACAACACATTTTATTTTGCCAACCAAACCTTTTTATAGGAGACAATGTACCCATACTTCGATTGTATAGCTGAAATCAACACTGCAACTGTTATATGAGAGCTTGTTTTTACCATGGGCATGATGGCTTGGCATATCATTTTAGAGTCCAAGTTGGGATGATCTTGGTTGACCCCTCTAGCACAACATGTATGAGGACCCGTTGTATACTGTTAGTTCTCATATGTTGTTTTTCCTCTTCATTTTTGATACGCGAACCATCCAATTGTATCTATTTTCTCGTCGGGCACAGTAGCATACATATTTTTCGGTCGTGGATCGGTTGACTCTGGACTGACCAGAATTACGGATATTGTAATTTTTTATAGCCATCACCGCTTCTTCTTTGCTTGAAAACTCCATGCCTAAAGATAATTCACCATTATTTATTGATGAGTAATATTTATAGTCACCGAGATGAGGCATATCCGCAAATTATGGCCCGTACATTGCACCATAATCAGCTTCATACATGTGTGCAGGAGGGTCAGTTTGTGCCACATTTCCTAGAACTTCATCACCATCGGAGTTGAATTGCGGTGATTCTGGGTGAATGAATAGTCCAGTCTTAGCACCATCCGCACCAGGCTCACGAAGCGGTTCTTCTGGTGGAGATGATGGTTCCTCCATGTGCTCCACATTTAGGTCGAAGAACCTACTACTTGCAACACATTCCCCTTGAACTAGAAGGCATATCGACATTGAGATCGAAAAAGCTCGCAGTCGAATGCCTCCCCTTGGAGCTTGAAGCCATCATGTCAAATGGAAACTGCACAGATGGTTGTGTCGATGACATCTCCATATTAAGGTCAAACGGATTTGCAGATGAATGTCTTCCCCTTGAACTGGACGCGATGTTGCCATACGGATTGTTCGTCAACCCACCTCGGTACATATCGTAAGGAGTTGCGGATGAATGTCTCCCCATTATGGCATTAAAATCAATACACATTACTGTCGTCGGGCTGTCAACTTGATCAACTTGTTTAGCCAGCCCATAATGGGAGCTTAATGATTGACCCCGAACGGCACACACTTGAATAAATTTTGTATACATCTCAATATTGGCGTCTGAAAAATTACTTTGAGCTTCAACCATCATTTCAACATCATCATTGTTCAAAAGTTCGAACGCTGTATAAGTTAATGGCAACAATGATGTTGGAAATCTGTACTGCAACGACGACATTCTTCTACTACTTCCAACATGAATCTTCATCGAAATTTTCGTTATCAGCTCCTCAAGAGTTATGTTTTTCTTCAATGATATTTTAACACGCTCATTTGATGAACAAAATATAACAAATAATTTTTTACACATAAACGTAAATAATTTAAATAATATAATTTTATATTATTACATGTACCGCAAAACTATTTCGACGTATATTCCCGCTTTCTAATTTTACAAATACAGAAATTAATTGACAACAATTAGTATAATATTTTTTTTTTCAAATAATCATAATAAACAATAAGTATAATAAAAAATTTATCACAAAATTACTTTATAACGAAAAATCGCACGAACTTCTGAATCAAATATGAGACAATTCTCAGAATTATTGATTCGTTGACGAAATTGTTGTATTAATTTATAAGTTGAGAGGAGAGATGTGAGGAAATGTGAGGAACTTAACTGGGTGAGAATGATATTTATAGCCGAGAAAAGTTGTTATAATTATACAAGGCGCGATATCTGCACCGTGCCTTATATAATTATATCAGTTAAATGTATGATGCGACCCCTGTCCCGTGCTATATATAATTATGTCAGATAATTAAAGGTAAGGCGCGGCCCTTGACTCGCGCTATACCCTACGTGGCGTAAGGCGCGCTCTAATGGTTGCGCTATACCCACGTGTATGTCAGCATATAGCGCGGTTCAGGGGTGTGTCTTACCCCACGTTGTGTCAAATCAGTATATAGCACGGTACAAGGGGCGCGTTTTACTGCAAAGGGTGTTAGATCAAAAAATATAATCTGACCAATGTTAGATCGATAAATATACTGATCACCGATAATTTTTCGAAAAAAAAGCCGATAAAAGAGCAAATATAATAACCTGAACTATTCTTTTCGATAATCTACAGTCTTGTGCAGGTAGGTATCGCAGGTCTATTAAAAGCGGAGAGCGTCTTTATTACTCGACTTTGATTCAACAAATTTGGGATCCATCGGTTGACCACCATGAACAAGGAATGTTAGAGATATAGGTTTGGTTTACTGATGAAACAAATGAATTTGTTCAATATCTCTTACTTTATTTTTAGTTTTAGTCATTTAAGGATTATTTTTAAAAACAGTTTTATTTATTTTAAACTCTACTTTCAACTCCATTAAACTACAACGTGTGTCAACTTATCATAATATTTATGAATTAAAATATTGAGCATAAAAATGAATAACGTGCTTATGCATTTACAGAGAAGGGAATTGATGCACTAAACACTCGTAAATAACATGTGTTTCTTAGAATCAATCTTAAACATTCACTTTTATTTTTACACATAACTTTCAAATCAATTATTTATAAATGTAATTTTTTTATTATTGTCTAAAACAAACTAATAATTTGAATTAACAATTAAAAATACACGCTAAGCTCAATATAACTTTATTCTTTTAAATTTATGACGTTTGAGACTATGTTTAAAGATTAACTTAAAGACTTTAAATATACCAACTAAGTTTAAACAATTTGATCTTATAGGTTAAAATACATCAATCAAGTAAACTTGTTCTTTATCGGTATGATTTTAACTTGAGTCCTCTCGTTATCATCTTTAACAAGAGTGACTTCTGAATGATCACAATAGTTACTTTGATCGAGTCAATGTCTCTTTTAAACATGGTTACTCTTTAAGATTTTATTTCTTTATTTTTTTTAGCAGATCGTGATATCGAACTAAAATATTGAGTCAATATATGATTGTATATAGTTATAGAAAATTGTTTAAATTTGAATCAAATAGTATCATATTATTATAAATATTTATAATTAAATATAAACAAAAATTAAATAACTAGGCTCGAAAAAAATTCAAATAAAATTTAAATTATAAAATACGACTCGTCAACTTGAATAACTCAAATTTTTTTAACTCGACTCGGACGGACACTCACCCTACTACTACTAGTAAATAAAATAAGAGTATATTCCGCATCTAGTACCTAAACTACCAGTTTTGATCTATTTTAGTACCTAAACTTTTAATTATTTCAAAATCATACCTAAAGTTTACTTTTTGTTTCATTTTAATACTAATCGTTAAAAACTTATCGCATTTAATACCTAAACTATCAATTTTAATCCATTTTAGTACCTAATTTTTTAAAAAAAAAAATCAAAACTTAAGTATGTTTTATGTACTAAACGTGTTTCGGTACCCATACTTTCATTTTTTTCAAACTTAACGGCGAGGTATTAAAATGAAACAAAAAATAAACTTTAGTTACGAGTTTGAAAAAATTGAAAGTTTAGCTACTAAAACGAATCAAAACTATTAGTTTAGGTATTAAATGCATAGTTTTCCCATAAAATAATGGCTTAAATATACAAAAGGTGCCAACCTATGCTCGTTTTTCCAGTTTAGTGTCAAACGTTTATTTCGTTCCAGTTTAGTGCCTAACATTTCATTCTGTTACTCAAAATGGGTCAGGCAATGATGGACTGTTAGTTTTTTCCGTTAAGTGACACGTGTCACAATCTCATAATTTTGAAATTTATCTTTTTTAAAAAATATTAAAATTATCATTATATTTATAAAAAAAACCCTTAGTTTTTTAAATTACAAAAAAACCTTAAAATCTATAAAATCCCCAAACCTTAACACTAACCCGCCACTGCCGCCCTTTCTGGCCACGACCAGTCTCGTCGACGTAGTCCTTGTCATCATCCTAGTTATAAGTTGTTGTAGTTGTCGTCGATTGACAATCGAAATCGCTTGTGATTGAAATTTTCATCCTAGGGTTTGCAGGATATAAAACGTCGATTCTCCATCAATAGCTGTTGATCAATCACGGTTTCATAGGGATTTTGGTCGCTGGGGGAGATGGGATTGGGTGGACCTTAGTCGACGACAATGGGCTATAATCAATGTGGGTTTAGGATTGAAATGAAGGTTTTCAAAGTTTTATGGTTATTTTGAAATTTATGTTTTTTAAATATATAATTTTATTTTTTAAATTTTATATAAAAATTTTAAAGTTATCATATTGTGACACGTGTCACTTAATGATGAAAACTAACGGTATGTCATGACTTGACTCATTTTGAGTAACGAAATGAAACGTTAAACACCAAACTGAAACGAAATAAACTTTAGGAACTAAACTGAAAAACGGATATAAGTTGAACAACTTTTTATATTTAAGCCTAAAATAATTTGCCATGCAACATTTACCATACACTTGGATTTAGAAAGAAAAGCAATGATAGGTGATATGTTTGAAGAAACTGGGCCTATGATTAAAGTTTCAAAATGAAACAAAACACAATGTCAACCAAGACAGCTAACGAATTCAACAATATCAGTACATGTACTAACCTTTTTAATGCATGGATTCAATTTTGAATTTTTAAGGTATCCCCATTGTAGAGAATTATTTTGTTGAGTCAGTCATTTATCAAAAGTTATAAAATGAGCATCGATTTATTCATTATATTCTAAATTTGTCATTTTCTGTTAAAAAATTAACGATCGTTTGAGCTGAACGTTAATATGTTGATTGAGATATGATAATCGTTTGAGATTATAATATCAAATTTTATCACATCTCAATCAACAAGTTAACGTTTAGCTTAGACTGTCGTTAATTTTTTAACCAAAAAGGACAAGTTTGAAACATAATGAATGATAAAGTAATTCTTTTATAATTTTTAATAGTCAAGTGACTCAATAAAACAACTTCTATAATTGAGGAACTATTTTATAACTTTTAATAGTCGGAGACTCAACAAAATTGTATCTTATAGTCAGGGATCATTCATGTAATTTACCTCATTTTAAATACATTACGAAATGTAATCAATATTTTACTACTTAAAATTACAATTAACAAGAAAAAATCCCTAACCAAAAAGTGAAAGAAAGAATTTTAAAAGCTTTTAAAAATTATCCAACAGATGACAATTGTGGTTATTTTCTCGGTATATCATCGGTAATCGGTATTATTATCAATCTAATATCGGTCAGATTATATTTCTCGATCTAACATCCTTAGCAGGAAAACGTTCCCCCTGCACCGCGTTATATGTTGATTTGGCGCCACGTGGGTATATCGCGCCCCCTGCCCCGCGATATACGGTGATCTGGCGCCACGTGGGTATAGCGTGCCCCCCTGATCCGCGCTATACCTGGATAGCTGACACGTGGGGTATAGCGCGGTGCAGGGGGCGCGCTATACCTCTAATTACCAACCCTTCACGTCCCCATCATCAATTACTTTTATCACATCAAATTATCTCAAATTATCTAAATTTCTCTCAAATACTCTATTTTAAGGTATATTTTATAATATTTTTACTATTATGTTTTTACTTTATTTAATATTTTATTAATATAATTCTTTTGCAGATATATAATGGAAGGCAGCCTACTTCGCTCGGATGGAAATCATATATCTCTACACTTTGCTGATACGGTAACATTTGAACGTTTTAATTTAATTTAAATTATTAGTAATATTTAGTTGATTTATTTAATGCATGATTATTATTTAAGAATTAAATATCTCGACACTTTGCTAATACGGTAACATTTTAACGTTTTAATTTAATTTAAATTATTAGTAATAATTAGTTGATTCATTTAATGCATGATTATTAGATTAAGAATTAATTTTTGTAATTATTTATTTTTAGGAGAAGGACCGTGTATTAGATCCTTTTATTAGGAATCTTAAGTTAGTGATACCCAGCCGTGTCTTGCCGTATTTAGTAGAGGCTAGATTCGGCTACATAGGTAGATATCAGGGTCACTGTAAGATAGAGCCAGACCTGATTTCTGCTTTAGTAGAGCGGTGGAGGCCGGAGACCCACAAATTCCATCTTCCGTGCGGAGAGTGCATGATCACGCTTGAGGATGTTTCTATGCACCTGGGGCTTCCGGTGGATGGAGATGTGATATCGGGGATAGCTTCCGGTTCTTGGACTACTTTGTGTCGGGATAGTCTAGGACGTGTCCCGGAAAATTTTATCGGAGGTAGGATACCGTTAAATTGGTTAGATGCCAATTTTCGGGAGTTGAGCGTAGACGTCTCTGAGGATGAGGTTAAGATGTATGCACGGGCATGCATACTGCAGCTGATAGGAGGGTTGCTGATACCGGACAAATCGTGCAACATAGTTCACTGCATGTGGTTGCGACATCTTAGCGACTTTCGTCTCGCCGATCATTCAGTTGGGGCTCGGCAGTTTTGGCTTTGCTGTACAGGGAGATGTGTGGAGCCACTAACTACAGGCGTAATGCTATCGGTAGATGTCTCCTACTGCTGCAGTCTTGGGCATGGTATCGATTGCCCTTTTTATGTCCCGTTGTGAAGAACCCATTCGCATTTCCACTACTTCTGAGGTAATTATAAAACTGGTTTTGTATATTAATAATTTTATACAGCGTATAACAATTTTTTTCCTTGAATAGGTGGTCTACTGATAGGAAAAATCATCAAGAGCTACCTGATGATTTAGAAAAAATTAGGGTGCTAATCGATCAGAAGGCTGGCACACAGGTATGAATTTTAATGTTTAAAAATCGATTTTAGATTATAGTTATATAATTATATTATTATTTTGATAAAAATTATATATTATTTGTTTTAGTTTGAATGGGTGTCATATTCTACTGATGATGTGAGGGCGGTGATCCCACCTGAGTTGAGGGGTCCACCAGATGTTTGGATGGCGATGGTCCCTTGATCTGTTATGCGACTGTCGAGTGGCACTCCACTGATCGCGTGCTCCGGCAGTTTGGTTGTTTTCAACCAATTCGAAAGCACTTCGCAATATAGACGAGTTGCATAGCTTAGATAGACGCGGCAAGACAGATACAGATTTGTTGTGAGGCATCATGGGTAGGTCGTGTTGTGGGAGGATCGGCATCGGCTTTCCCCGTAGAGAACCCATTTTTGATGACCTCTTGATGTATGCTGAGGATTATTATGAGTGGTTCAACAGTAACGGGAAACCGTTTCTACTTCCCGAGGATGCACGAGGGCAGACGTTTCCACGACGTCGACAGAGACGTTCACCGACACAGCACCATCGTCCCCCGACTCGTAGACGGAGAGCAGGTGCTTCCGGTTCATCCTCAGCTGCACCAGCAGGACCTTCCCAGCAGCCACCGCAACCATATATGATCCGCCATCGCCTTTCCATTACCAGATGTCGACGCAGCCGCCTTCACCTGGTTTTATGACCCCGCCACCGCCACCGTCACAGATGACCCATCCTGGAGGCTATTATGGGTCTATGTTTGCATATCCGACTTGGGGTTCATATACTGGATATTTGGCGGGTTCATCCTCATCATCCATGGCCGCAGCAGACATCTCCTGTACAGTTTTCACACTCAGCGATGTCTGGGTTTTCCCAGTTTTCCCAGTTTTCACATGCCGGTGGGATAGTCAGTCATACACCTCCAGGGACCTTATTCTATGGAGGTGCTTCATCATCATCAGCTCCTCATCAACCTGATGTACCTGCTCAGGACAATGACGATGACGATGATGATGACGACGATGACGATGGTGACGACGACGATGACGATGATGATGACAACGAGGAGTCAGAACTAGTGATACGAAGAAATCCTCCTTGAGACCGACAGCCACCGCCATGCGGATCACATTCGCGACGTAGGCATCGATAGATTTTTTTAATATATTTGTATTTACTTTATTTTTTTAATTTTAATTTTTTATTATTTCTCATTTAATACTTACTTTATTTTGTTGAATTTGTTGGATTTTTTTAATATATTTTAGTTAATTTTGTTTATTACCATTTAA